CCCATTGAGCTGTCAGGTTTAAATGGCTGGCAGCCATTTCAGGGACCAGTTTCACTCCCCTCTGCTTCCGGGGGGGGGGGGCGAAAGAGATAGCTGAAAAAGCTTGCAACCAGTTTAGCCTAACACTGGATGGGCACACCTGCCCCTGTTAGGCTAAACTAGCCACAGTGGCGAAGGTGGGGGGGAGGTGAGCAGAGGCACATGGCTTGGAGAAGGCAGGCACTGTCCCTTTAAATGCCTGCCTTCTCCAAGCTGCACAACTTGGAGAAATCTTTTGGAAACTTTGGGATTGGGGGGGGGCACCAGCAGCTATGCTGCAAATTTGGTGCCTCTACTTCCAAAAACGGGGGGGGGGGGAGTCCCAAATACCCCAGGATCAATTCTCCATTATAGCCACGCTCATAACTTTTATGCTAGTAGATTTTTTGGCTCACAAAACAGAATTTTTGCTCACAGCAGTCAACAGCTTAGAGGGAACACTGACATTCTATCACTATTCGTTGCACTATTATTAAGCATCAAGTTCACTAACCCAATATCCCTCCCCCCCCCAATAAGACTGCACTCAGATAACGGCAGCTAGAAAACCGAAACTCTTCCTCTCAGATTCAGATTTTCTCCTCAAAAACCACATGCTGGGAAACGGCACCGATTCTTAATAATGGCATAGTGCCAGTGGAAACTTTAAAATGGGGGCTGTGGCAGCCGTCACTTCCCTGCTCTGAACTTTACAAAGAGCTACAAAACTGGGCCATTCCTCAAGGTCACTCTAATGCCAATGAGGAAAAGGCAGCTGTAGTCATGCAGGGGGGTCACAGTGAACTGGAAGAGCCAGATGGGAGTTGGGGAGAATTGCATAAAGGCACTTCAACACACCTGCCTTTGAGGTGTGTTGAAATGAACATCATTCCCGGGCATAGCAGTACGTGGACTGTCCACACCAGAGAAGCTGCACTTCTGTTCCACAACAGTTGTGGGGGGGGGGGATACAACAAATCATCCTGTTAAAAAATGGGGAGGCACCCGGGAAAAGAGAATGGGGGCTTCTTATCCATATCACCCAGTACTAATACTATAATTGCAATTATGGCAACTACTAGGAGTAAGGCCCGTTGTGGGAAGAAATACAACGAGCTCTAGAAGGAAGCTCCAAGTGAGTGTCCCAGCTGTGGCTGGTGGGGCAGCGGAGGGAAGGGGAAAATAGAGGGAGGTGAGCCATGTTTATTTCCTTCTGCTTAGCTATAAGGCAGGTCTGTCTCAAGTCATTTTGCTGCCCCAAGTGGGTAGTATGGGAGGACAGCCTCACGGTAACAGGTATGGTTCCCTCCATCCCTGACTTATGTTGATTTGGGGTTATGCAGTGGCAGCTAAGGTAGAAAGGCACCTCCTCCTATGCCATATCTTCTGTGTTCCAAGGGTCTGGAAAGCAGTTCCATAGCCAGTTACAGGGTTGCCAACTCTGGGTTGGGAAATACCTGTAGATTTGAGGGGTAGAGCCTGGGAAGAAGAGGGGTGGGGAGGGACCTCAGCAGGGTATAATGCCATAGAGTCCACTGCCCAAAGCAGCCATTGTCTCCAGGAGAACTGATCTTGGTCATCTGGACATCAGTTGTAATAGCTGGAGATCTCCAGGTGCTGCCTGGAGGTTGGCTTATGTTAATTTGGGGCTATGCAGTGGCAGCTAAGGTAGAAAAGCACCTCCTCCTGTGCCATGTTTTCTGCGTTCCAAGAGTCTGGAAAGTGGTTCCATAGCCAATTACACGGTTGCCAACTCTGGGTTGGGAAATACCTGTAGATTTGAGAGGTAGAGCCTGGGGAGGGCAGGATTTTGGATGGAAATGGACCTCAGCAGGGTATA